ACCGGTGTAAAATGAGGAGACCGCGTAGTAAACGAAGAAAACGAAAAGACGGGGTGACGATGCTATAGTCTGTTAGCACATGCTTCAGAGGAGCTCGAGTTATTTTGGCAAAAGTAAAGAACAATGGCCTGAAAGTGGCAGAGGATCGAGAGAGAAACACTCTTCGCCTTCCTACCCAGTATTAGAGAAAAAATGGGAGAAAACGACTCTGTATTTGAGAGAGCAGAGGGGAATCAGAGTTCACAAGAAAAGTCAGGTTGGAAATCAAACAAGAAAGAGATGAACACAATCAAAAAAGACACTCAGAATATAGAGTATTTTGCTGATAACAGAGCACAAGTTTCAGGGAACAGTTGGGAATGAATGTGGTATTGGAAATATTCTGGTCAGTCATGTAGACCAAATTAGGATAAAAGCCTAGGTGATGGACAACCTGTGAAGCATGGGCTTCCGGCAGAGCCTCAGATGAACAGGGTGTCGAGGCAAGAAGGAATTGCTTGGGATCTTCTCTTAAGGGAAAGTGGTTAACTAGAGTTAATTAAAATCTCTTTCTAGAATACTGGGCTCTACCCAAGTCCTCACTCTCTGTGGGGGCAGCAGCTTCATTCTGTACTTACCACTCTGGTCCTTATTTCTTCACTCTCAACACATAGAAATTACAGCTTTTGAAACTTAATTTTATACTTAGAAGTTTGACTTGTTGCTTGTTTCATCACAACTTCACTTTCATGCCTCCAGTTTTATTTTAAGTCATCTTTTGTTGACTGAAGTTGCTTTCACATTTTTTTGTAATTGCTATAGTCTTAATTCAGGAGGAATGGGTAATAATTTTGAGTTCTTGCATACGTAAATATGTATTTCTGTCATTATTTAAAAGTGAATGATGTCAAGAGAATTAGAGAACAAGTCACAAACTGAGAGAAAATTTTTGCAAATGACACATCTGATGAAGAACTATCATCCAAAATGTACAAGGAACTCTTAAAATTCAACAATCAGAAAACAAAGAAGTCAATTAAAAAATGGACAAAACACCCTAACAGACACTTCACCAAGGAAGATACCCAGATGAAAAATAAGCATATGAAAAGATACTTTGCAACATATATCATCAGGGACATGTAAATTGAAACAACAATGAGATACCACTATCCACCGATTAGGATGGCCAAAATCCAGAACACTGACAACCACAAATGCTGACAAGGATGTGTAGCAACAGAAATCCTCATACACTGCTGGTGGGAATGCAAAATGGTATGGTCACTTTGGAAGACAGCTGGGAGGTTTCTTACAAAAGTAAATATTCTTACCATACAATCCAGCAATCATCCTTCTTGGTATTTACACAAAGGAGTCAAAAACTAATGTCCTGCACAGAAATGTTTATAGTAACCATATTCATAATTGCCCAAATCTGAAAGCAACCAAGATGTTCTTAAGTAGGTGCATGGATAAATAACTGTGGTACACGCAGACAATTATACAGTTCCAAATTATTATTCAGAATATTCAGAACATTATTCAGTCCCAGAAAGAAATGAGCCATCAAGCCATGAAAAAACATAAATGCGTATCACTAAGTGAAAGGAGCCTATCTGAAAAGGCTACATACCGTATGATTCCAACTCTGACGTTCTGGAAAAGGCAAAACTATCGAGACAATAAAAAAAAAAAAAAAAACAATGGTTGTCAGGGACTTGTGGGGAGAGAGGGATGAAAATATGGAGTATAGAGGATTCCTAGATCAGTGAAACTACTCTGTATAATCCTATAATAATGGATACATGTCATCACAAATTTGTCCAAACCCACATAATGTAAACAGCAAGAGTGGACCCTAATGTCAACGAAGGATTTTGGATAATAATGTATCAATATAGGTTCATCAGTGGTAACAAATGCACCATTCTCGTGGCGGATGTTGGTAATGAGGCAGGCTAGGCATGGGAGGGGACAAGGAAGATATAGGGAATCTCTGTATCTTCTGCTCATAGTTACTGTGAACCTAAAACTGTTCTAAACAATAAAGCCTATTTAAAAATAGTGAATAGTAACTTGATCTAATAAAGACTTTTTCTTTACTAACATTTACTCTCAGGATTCTGTAAATAGATATTCCATCACCTTCTGTCATCTAAAATTGCAAAGACTGATTCCAGCTGTCATAGGCAGAATTCTAATTTGGCCCCTGGAATTCCCACCTCTTGGTGTCTATGCTCTGTAGAGTTCTCTCACCTTGAGTATGAATATGACTTGTGAATATGATGGGATTTCACTCCTGTGATAATGTTACACTACATGGAGAAGGGGATTTTGAAGATGTAATTAAGATCCCTAATCCGTTGAATTTTATTTATTCAGAAGAGAGATATCCTGAGTGAGCCTGACCTGATCAGGTGCACCCTTTAAAGGTATCCAAGCTTTCCTCGAAGTCAGAGATTCAAAACAGTGGAGATTCTCCTGCAGCTCTTGAAGAAGCAAACTGCCAGGTTGTGAGGACAGAGACATGTAGCAAAGCCATGAAGGTGACCTCTAGGAGCTTATTATAAACTTTTACCAGCTAACAACAAGCAAGATAATGGGCACCTCAGTCAGACAGCTGCAAGAAAATGGATTCTTCCAACAGTGAGTGAACCTGGAAATGGATGCTGAATCTCAGATGAGGTCATAGCTCTGACTGACACCTTGACCTGAGCTGAGAGTGATCCGGAGCAGACAGCATGTTTAGGCTGTTCCTGGACTTCCAACCAACAGAAACAGAAATTTGTGTGGCATTCAGCTGCTAAATTTGTGGTAATTTGTTACACAGCAATAGAAAAACTATTTTCTAAGTGACCCTTTTGTTTTATGTTCTAGATCTTAGTAAATTTTCATTACACTTGAAATTCAGTTATTTCACCAATGCATCTATAGACTTTTTTTTATGTGCTCGCTTCGGCAGCACATATACTAACATTGGAACGATATAGACTTTTTTTTATATGGTGAGACTCTCATATACAACATCAGTTCCTCCTTTATTTAAATGAAGTTTTCAGTAATTACAGTTACTAAAAGGAAAACTAAGCAAGGTGTGACTTAAAATGCTAAAAATAAAGTGAAGAATTTAAGAAGTTCATGATATTTTAAGTAAAAGACCTAGAAAAAAAAAAAGCAGGCCTCTCTTTAGAGAAGAAGATCAGATGTTAATGCACAGATTAAAGGGGTGAGACAGAAGGCTAAGCTAATCTTTTCATCAAATGAAGTGACCTTTATACAATAAAGGAAAGAAAATGATTTCCTCCCATGATGCACAAAAGAACAAACCAGCTATTTTAAATTAATTGTATTCATCCAGATTCTGAATTTTATCCCAGGATTCTAGAAGACTAATATACGTTATTTCCCTACTCCTTCTTGTAATCTCTGAGGAGCCACAGAGAATAGGATCTGTACCAGGAAGTTACGGACAAACAAATATAGAGTATTTTACTTAAAATTTTCAAAATTATCCGGAGATTGGATTTGAAAACACATATTAGCATGGCAAAATTCTAGGATTAACTATCAAGCACCGTTTGTGAGCATTTAGTAGCCTATTGTTAGCGCTCACCAGGAACGAGTTGAAGTTCAATAAGAACATACTATGTATGCTTTCTATATCTATAGGTTGATAGGTTGATACAAAAAGTTTTTTGTTTTTTTTAACAACACAGTGTATAGCTTAGTTTGGGTTCGGCCAGAGTGGATAGGCTGATAGTTCAGGACGTGGGGTTCCTATTTGTTACGGCCTTAACTGTGTCCCACGAAAATTCGTATGTTAGAGTCCTAACCCCCAAAACCGCAGAATATGGCTGTATTAGGAGATAAGGTCTTTAAAAATGTAATTAAGGTAAAATGAGGTCATATGTGCAGGCCCTAACGCAATATGACTGATATTCTTATAAGAAGAGGAGATTAGGACACAGACATGCATACATGGGGGAAAGACCATCTGAGGACACAGCAAGAAGGCAGCCATCTGCAAGCCAAGGAGAGAGGCCTCCAAGGGAATGATGTTGTCAATGTCTTGACCTTGGACTTCCAGCCTCTAAAACTGTGGGAAAATAAATTTCTTTTATTTAAGCCACTCAAGCTGTGATATTTTGTTATGGCAGCCCTAGCAAACTAATACAGCACCTACTGCTCACTAGATGTATTCAAGGAAGCCTGGACAGACCAGTCTCTGAGTATCAAAGAATGTTGAAGGGACTTTTTCACTGCTATGGAATGTCCAGTGCCCAGACACAAATACCCAGACTTAGTCTTTGATTTTCCCTTGGTAAACAACTTCACTAGAGTTGACTTAGTCTGTACACTAATGTCACATTCAACCATTTTAGGCCATGGTTGACCACATGCCAGGCTTTTCATCCTTCCTTCCCTCTCTCCCTTTATTCCACCCTCAATAAATGTATAGAGCTCTAGCGTAAAAGAGAGGCCTAGATTCATTAGTCTTACAGCTGTACTTTGAAGAACATACTCTTGAGGGGCTGAAGATAATCTGTTACTAAAAGATGAGTCTAGAGGAATTTTACAGAGGCATAGGCATTGGCTTTTATGTGTGAGGTCATTTTTTACATCACCTGACACCCATCCTTGCAGGGGTTCCAGAGAACCAAAGATTAGTGCAATATAAAGACCTTCAAGTTACACAAGATCTGGGCATAGGAAGTACAAGAATATACTCCACTTCCAGATTATAATCACATGGAGCTCAGAGCATCAGGAATTGTTATTATGTAAATTTAGCACACTTATATGCAAACTGGCAAGGACCAGAATATAACAGTTAAAAAGGTATTTGACAAAGTCTTATTATATGCTTCTAGATAAAAATGATTCAAATATGCTTGAATAATCTATTTTCAAGTAGATTTGAAAGCATGTAAAAAATCTGCTCAATAAAGGCTTTCAGGCCCGTCCCGCGGCCGCGCGCACGCTCACGCGCCCGTAGCCCGCGCCTGCGCCGCGCCGCCATTCGGGAGGCTGCCGCGCCGCCGGGCCTCGCGGAGCAGCCGGGGACCGCGAGCGCGGCTCCCGCCATCCTTCGCGTGTGTGGACGCCGCCTCGGCCCATCATCGGTCAACTCTCATCTTTGTTCTTCATGTACTACAGGCTATTTTCTGTAGTTAACTCAGAAGCCATGTAGACTTGCCTGCCCTTTGAAGACATACTTTTTAAGATTTCTAGGAAGATAAGCTGCACTGTTGAGAGTTTTTACAGAATATAATCGTGTGTATTGTGACAGAGAGAGAAATGGAAGTGTTCCAGGAACTCCGTAAACCGTCATCACGTTTGGAGTGTGACCACTGCAGTTTCCGAGGCACGGATTATGAAAACGTGCAAATTCACATGGGCACCATCCATCCAGAATTTTGTGATGAAATGGATGCTGGTGGGTTAGTTAAAATGATATTTTACCAGAAAAGTGCAAAGCTATTCCACTGCCATAAGTGCTTCTTCACCAGCAAGATGTACTCTAATGTGTACTATCACATCACATCCAAACATGCAGGCCCAGAGAAGTGGAATGAGAAACCAAAAAATCAGCTAAGCAAAGAAACAGATCCTGGGAAAAGCCCTCCTCTTCCTGATCACCAGAAAATACCCTCTAATTCAGCAGAACTCCCAAAACCCATACCTGCCCTTTCTGTAGAAACACAGAAACTAGGCCCAATTTTGTCTCCAGAATCACCAAAACCTACACCTCTCACTTCCCTGGAGCCTCAGAAGCCTGGCCCTGTTGTTTCTCCTGAGCCACAGACACCTTCTCTTCCTTCTCCTGAGCCTCCAAAATCTGCCTCTATTTCTTCTCCTGAACTTCCAAAACCAGTCCCTATTGTTTCTGAGTCTCAGAAACCAGTCCCTATTCCTTCTCCAGAACCACAGAAACTTGCCCCTATATCTCCTGAGCCAGTTAAGGCCACTCTTATTAATCCTAAACCCCAGAAACACTCCCATTTCCCAGAAACACTGGGGCCACCTTCAGGCTCATCTCCAGAGTCACCAGTTTTGGCGGCTTCCCCTGAACCTTGGGGTCCATCCCCAACTGCATCTCCAGAGTCTCAGAAACCAGCCCGGACTATCTCCCCTGAGCCAAGGAAGCCATCCCCATCGGAGTCTCCTGAACCTTGGAAGCCATTCCCTGCTGTCTCCCCAGAGCCCAGAAGACCAGCCCCGGCTGTGTCACCAGGTTCTTGGAAGCCAGGGCCACCTGGGTCCCCAAGGTCTTGGAAATCCAGTCCTTCGGCGTCATCGGGACCTTGGAAGCCAGCTAAACCTGCTCCATCTGTGTCTCCTGGTCCTTGGAAGCCAATTCCTTCGATCTCACCTGGGCCATGGAAACCAACTTCCTCTGTGTCCCCCGCATCCTGGAAGTCATCGTCGGTCTCACCTGGTTCCTGGAAGTCTCCCCCTGCGTCTCCTGAGTCGTGGAAGTCTGGCCCACCAGAACTCTGAAAGACAACTGCCACCTTGTCACCTGAACATTGGAAGACAGTTCCCTCAGTGTCCCCTGAGCTTCGTAAAGCAGGACCTCCTTTGTCTCCTGAGCTTCGCAAACCAGGCCCACCATTGTCCCCAGAGATCCACAGTCCAGCGGGATCTCCAGAGCTCAGAAAACCTTCAGGGTCTCCAGAGCTTTGGAAGCTTTCTCCTGATCAGCGAAAAACTTCCCCTGCTTCACTTGATTTTCCCGAGTCCCAGAAAAGTTCCCGTGGTGGTTCCCCTGATCTCTGGAAGTCTTCCTTTTTTATTGAAACTCGGAAACCTTCTGGACCATCTGAGTCCCCTAAGGCAGCCTCCGATATCTGGAAGCCTGTTCTCTCTCTTGATACCGAACCTAGAAAACCTGCCCTGTTTTCTGAGCCCACCAAAACAGCCCCTCCAGCTTCTCCTGAACCACAAAAACGTGCTCTTTTTCCAGAGCCCCAGAAACATGCCCTTTTCCCTGAACTTCCCAAATCTGCTATCTTTTCAGAATCTCAGAAGGCAGTTGAGCTTGGTGATGAACTACAGACAGATGCCATAGATGATCAAAAGTGTGATATTTTGGTTCAGGAAGAACTACTAGCTACACCTAAGAAACTCTTAGAAGACACTTTATTTCCTTCCTCAAAGAAGCTCAAGAAAGACAACCAAGAGAACTCAGATGCTGAGCTTAGTAGCAGTGAATATATAAAAGCAGATTTAGATAGACAGCAAGGGCCAAGAATCAAGCAGTGATCAAGAGCAGGTTGATGTAGAATCTATTGATTTTAGTAAAGAGAACAAAGTGGACATGACTAGTCCAGAGCAGTCAAAAATGTGTTACAATTTACTGAAGAGAAAGAGGCTTTTATCTCTGAGGAAGAGATTGTGAAGTATATGAAGCGTGGAAAAGGAAAGTATTATTGCAAAATTTGTTGCTGTCGAGCTATGAAAAAAGGTGCGGTTTTGCATCATTTGGTTAATAAGCATAATGTTCATAGCCCTTACAAATGTACAATTTGTGGAAAGGCTTTTCTTTTGGAATCTCTCCTTAAAAATCATGTAGCAGCCCATGGGCAGAGTTTACTTAAGTGTCCACGTTGTAATTTTGAATCAAATTTCCCAAGAGGCTTTAAGAAACATTTAACTCACTGTCAAAGCCGACATAATGAGGAAGCAAATAAAAAGCTAATGGAAGCTCTTGAACAGCCCCTGGAGGAGCAGCACATTTGATTTTTACACATGGTGTGGATATATGATCCACAAAGTTGTTTGTTGAAACTGTGTAAAGCATGGTTAAATAGTGTAGGTGGGTCAGTAGATGTTGTGTATGGTGTACTGTGTTGTCTCAGTAGTGTTACAAAGAATAAGCATTTGGTTCTTTTTTTCATGGTCTCCGAATTAGGCATGAAAAATTTGGGAAATTTTTTTCTCTTTCCTTAAATATATTTTTAGATCATAAAAGGTATTTGGAAGTTCCTATTTGGTCATATAAAGTTAGTTTATTTATAAATCTTGAGCAGCTCTACATGTTTATTAGCTTTTACGTCATGGAAAATTGGTCTCAGGGTTGCTGATTTTCTGCTAAATAGATGTTGAATAAGTTTTAAAAGGTTTGCAGCCTTCTCTAGGAAACTGGGAAAGGTGAGTGTGACTTAGGTCTCGTCCTTAGTTGTTTCCTTCTGAGTCTTCCATTCTGCACCGCCTTCCCCACCCCTCCCCACCCCTCCCCACCCCACCCCCGGGTCTGTCTCTTCCCTTCCCTGTGAACTCACACCAATAGATGATCCTTGACTGCCAAATGTGTCAGCACTGCACTTCCTGCCCCTGGGCCTCACTCGCCACCTAGGGGCTTCAGACCTGGTAATGAGTAGGAACTGAGAGTCTTCCAGATTCACAGTAGAAAATTTTGTAAGTAGACATCTCTGTTTGAGAGTACGTCAATTGTATGTTTTCCACAGTTGTTACTGTAAATACCTTGTGCCTGTTCGTGGATTATTTTGTTCTAAAATATTTTGTCAAATGTGTATCAGCCAAATTAAAAACAAAGGCTTTCATGTCAGTAAAAAAAAAAAATAATAAAAAAATAAAAAATAAAGGCTTTCAATGTGGAAACAGGTTCACAATGATATAAAATTGACATGTAGTACTTGGTAATTCCTTTTATAATTTTTGTGTTTATTATGTCTATGAAACAGAAAGAGAAAGCAAACTAATGGAATTTGAGAACCAAGATTCAAAATATTCTTGGTGGGAGCAAGATGGTGGAGTAGGAGACCTGGATTTCGTCTGGTCCCAGGAATTCAGCTGGATAGGGATCAAACCATTCTGAACACCTACGAACTCAACAGGAGATTGAAGAAAATAATAGCAACAACTGAACAGAAAAGCCACCACTTTCTGGAAGGTAGGACGTGCAGAAAAGTGAATCCAAAGTGATATTCAGGAGAATAGACGGTGGGGGTTGGGGCCTCCATCGGCCGCTTCTAGCAAGTCACAGAGCAGCGGAGCACAAAATCGGAACTTGCAGAGGTCGGCTCCACTGAGGGATGTCACTCCAGTGGCTAAGTGGGGGGGGTGGGACCCTCGCGGGACAGTGTGGTCTCAGGACCCTCGGGGTCACAGAAAGACCGGGGGTGCCTGAGTGCGGCAGAGCTGCCAGGTATCGGAGTGGGGAAGCCGGCTGCAGAGATGGAGCCAAGGAGTGGGCTCTCAGCTCGGGGTGGCCATAAACTGTGATCCGCGGCCCACTTGGGCCACTGCTCCTCCAGCAGGAACCCAACAAGCGGCAGAGCCGGGGAGCCTCCCCTTCCTCCCCCGGGAGGAGCAGCGCGGGAGCGCACCGCAGGGATCTGCCGGGTTTGGAGACTCCACGTGGGGTCGGGTGCCAGAGATAGAAACGCTCAATCACAGGCCGGGTGAGCACGGAGTGCGGCCGGAGACCGGGGACACGGGAGTGACTGACTGCTTTTCTCTGGGGACGCACTGAGAAGCAGGCCCCGAGTTCTCAACTCCTCCGGGGCAGAGATTGGGAGGCCACCATTTTCACTCTCGTCCTCCAAAGCTGTACGGAAAGCTTGCAGGGAATAAAAGCTCCTGAGAGCAAACCTGAGCAGATTACTTTGCCCTGACTCGCAAGGGCGGGGCAATTCTGCCTCCGGCAAAGACATTTGGGAACCACGGCAACAGGCCCCTCCCCCAGAAGATCAGCAAGAACAGCCAGCCAAGACCAAGTTTACCGATCAAAGAGAACGGGAGAACTCCAGCGCTAGGGGAATACTGCACATAGAATTCATGGCTTTTTTACCATGATTCTTTAGTCTTTCAAAGTTAATTTTTTTAACTGTCTTTTCTTTCATTTCTTTTGAATTTTTCTTTTTCCCTTTTTCAAACATCTTATCAATCCCTTTTTTAAAAAATATTTTTTATTTTTCATTTTTAGAGTCATATTCTATCCCTTCATAGTAGTTACCCTTATTTTTGGTATATATATAAGTTGTTCTCTCCTTAAAATTTTGAGATACAGTTTCTTCTAACAGATCAAAACATACCCTAAATCTCTAGTGTATGGCTTTGTTCTAGTCTCCTGACTGATCACATTCTCTCCTTTTATTTTTTTAAATCCTCTTCTTTCTTTTTTCAAACAACTTCTTATCTTATCAATTCCTTTTATAAAATCTTTTATAATTTTCATCTTTACAGTCATAGTCCAACCCTTCATCGTATTAACACTTATTTTTGTACATACATAAGTTTTTCTTTCTTTAAAATTTTGGGAGGCACATTCTTCTAATAGACCAAAGTACACCCAAATCTAATGTGTGGCACCAATCTATGCACCAGCCTGATCATATTTGATCATACTCTGCTTTATTTGTTTTGTTTTGTTTCTGTTTTTTATCTTTTTCTTTTACTTTTTTCTTTCTTTCCCTTTCTTTTCCCCCGGTTTCAGGTCTTTTCTAATTTGTTTAGTGTATATTTTCTGGGGACGTTGTTACCCTGTTAGCATTTTGTTCTCTCATTCATCTATTCTCCTCTGGACAAAATGACAAGAAGGAAAAAATCACCTCAACAAAAAGAACAAGAGGCAGTACTGACTGCCAGGAACCTAATCAATACAGACATTAGTACAATGTCAGAAGTAGAGTTCAGAATGATCATTTTAAAGATACTAGCTGGTCTTGAAAAAAGCATGGAAGTTATTAGAAAAACCCTTTCTGGAGATATGAAAGAACTAAAATCTAACCAAGTCGAAATCAAAAAGGCTATTAATGAGGTGCAATCAAAATTGGAGCCTCTAACTGCTAGGATAAATGAGGCAGAAGAAAGAATTACTGATATAGAGGACCAAATGATGGAAAATAAAGAAGCTGAGAAAAAGAGAGATAAACAACTACTGGAACACGAGGGCAGAATTCGAGAGATAAGGGATACCATAAGACGAAACAACATTGGAATAATTGGGATCCCAGAAGAAGAAGAGAGAGAGGGGCAGAAGGTATATTGGAGCAAATTATAGCAGAGAACTTCCCTAATTTGGGGAAGGAAAGAGGCATCAAATTCCAGGAGGCACAGAGAACCACCCTCAAACCAATAAAAATAGGTCAACACCCCGACATCTAATAGTAAAACTTACAAGTCTCAGAGACAAAGAGAGAATCCTAAAAGCAGCTCGGGAGAAGAGATAGGTAACCTACAATGGTAGAAACATTAGACTGGCAACAGACCTATCCACAGAGACCTGGCAGGCCAGAAAGGACTGGCATGATATCTTCAGAGCACTAAATGAGAAAAATATGCAGCCAAGAATACTATATCCATCTAGGCGGTCATTGAAAATTGAGGAGAGATAAAAAGCTTCCAGGACAAACAAAAACTACAGGAATTTGCAAACACAAAACCAGCCCTCCAAGAAATATTGAAAAGGGTCCTCTAAGCAAAGAGAGAGCCTAAAATGACATAGACCAGAAAGGAACACAGACAATATACAGTCACAGTCACCTTACAGGCAATACAATGGCACTAAATTCATATCTTTCAGTAGTTACCCTGAATGTAAATGGGCTAAATGCCCCAATCAAAAGATACAGGCTATCAGATTGGATTAAAAAACAAGACCCATCGATATGCTGTCTGCAAGAGACTCATTTTAGACCCAAAGACAACCCCAGATTGAAAGTGAGGGCATGGAAAACCATTTATCATGCTAATGGACACCAAAAGAAAGCTGGGGTGGCAATCCTTATATCAGACAAATTAGATTTTAAACCAAGACTGTAATAAGAGATGAGGAAAGACACTATATCCTGCTTAAAGGGTCTATCCAACAAGAAAATCTAACAATTGTAAATATCTATGTCCCTAACATGGGAGCAGCCAATTATATAAGGCAGTTAATAATAAAAGTGAAGAAACACAACAACAATACAATAATAGTGGGAGACTTTAACACCCCCCTCACTGAAATGGACAGATCATCTAAGCAAAAGATCAACAAGGAAATAAAGACTTTAAATGACACACTGGACCAAATGGACTTCACAGATATATTCAGAACATTCCATCCCAAAGCAACAGAATACACATTCTTCTCCAGTGCCCATGGAACATTCTCCAGAACTGATCACATCCTAGGTACCAAATCAGGTCTCAACCAGTACCAAAAGACTGGGATCATTCCCTGCATATTTTCAGACCACAGTACTTTGAAACTAGAACTCAATCACAAGAGGAGAGTCAGAAAGAACTCAAATACATGGAGGCTAAAGAGCATCCTACTAAAGAATGAAGAGGTCAACCAGGAAATTAAAGAAGAATTAAAAAAATTCACGGAAACCAATGAAAATGAAAACACAACTGTTCAAAATCTTAGGGATGCAGCAAAGGCAGTCCTAAGAGGAAAGTATATAGCAATACAAGCCTTTCTCAAGAAACAAGCAAGGTCTCAAATATACAACCTAACCCTATACCTAAAGGAGCTGGAGAAAGAACAGCAAATAAAGCCTAAACCTAGCAGGAGAAGAGAAATAATAAAGATCAGAGCAGAAATCAATGAAATAGAGACCAAAGAACAGTAGAACAGATCAATGAAACTAGGAGCTGGTTCTTTGAAAGAATTAACAAGATTGATAAACCCCTGGCCAGACTTATCAAAAAGAAAAGAGAAATGACCCAAATCAACAAAATCATGAATGAAAGAGGAGAGATCACAACCAACACCAAAGAAATACAAATAATTATAAGAACATATTATGA